AAAATATCTAGTCACGCGAGTGATAAGCTATAGCATAGATTTATCAAAACTTGTGGAGTTTAAATCCAAGTCTCAAAATTGGATACGAAGGACGACGCATATTAAAATTGTTTTTAAGCCTTAACCGTAAGTTTAATTTGAGTCGATGTATGGTAAAATCATAATCTGATACAACAAACCTAACAACACAGAGGCGTAGCGACCCTTCCCGGCGCCCGGGGACAAACTTTTCGATTTGCACCCCCCCCCTCGAGATTTCGATTTGCACCCCCCCCCCTCAAACTTTCGATTTGCACCCCCCCTCGAGATTTTGATTTGCACCCCCCCCCCCTCAAACTTTCAATTTGCACCCTCCTCAACCTTTCAATTTATTTTTCCAACCCATTTTGGCGCCCCCTAAGCTCGGCGCCCGGGGACATATGTCCCCCCGCCCCGCCCCCCCCCCCCCCCATCGCTACGCTACTGTAACAACAAACTTAACAACACTCTTAACAACACACTTAACAATAAACTTAACAACAAACTTAAAGGAAGATAGACTTTGTGTATGTTTACTGTATAAACAAACTTAAAATAGAATACAATATGGACTGCCGTTATCATCTGTCATTATCTATAGCCATTATCAACTGTCATCGTTCACCCTTGTCCACAAAACGGGCTGATGCGATGGACCGATCACGCAATCGGAGCATCAAGGTTTCAGCTTTTGCCTGACGGTCCGTCAATAGGCATTAATTTAATCATAACATTCATCCGTCGTTAGCTAATGGCGCGCGCTGGCTTGATAGAACTGAGGGGGGGGGGGATCAACGGTAAAATTTTGTATGATTATTTTTTTTTACTTTTAAATTTTTTTTTTTAAATGATGTTTGGCAATCATGATTCGTATTCACTTGTAATAGTTAGTTAAATAAATAAGTTGATGGAAATAATTTATCGATTGCACTTATTTTAACGGTGGTTATTTTTACCCAATATAGCGTGAAACGAGCTTTCTAAACAGCAACATCATTTTTTCTTGCTCGTGAATAAGGCACAGTAGAGTTCTTCTGTTTCAACGACCTCGGCATACGTGGGGATAGTATGGTCAGCACTATGCCCAGCCGCGCTTTTTCACTAATATGAATTGGTTACACATCAGAGCCGGATGGACGCAGGAACAGGTTTGAACCCGGGATCAGAACTCGAAGAGTTTCGTTGTAGCAGTCGTGAGCTCTACCATCCGACCACGCTGTCCCATAATAATCAGTGTAGATACGCTCTATATCGTCAATCTATGTGCCTGAGCAAAGTTTGTAGGTTATGATATTAGTGTGTCCACAGTGAAGGCGTCGCTAGGTCGGGTGTCACTGAAAGTGTCCCCCCCCCCCCCAACACACACACATTTTTCAATTTTCGGTTTGGTGTCACCCTTCTCCTATTTTATTATTTTAAACTGGATACCCTATTGTTTTGATAGCAAATTTTATGATTTTTTTTCCAATTTGGTGTCACCCCCCCCCCCCCCCCCCCCAAAAAAAAGGTACCACCCGGTGCGGACCGCAGCCCCGCCCCTGCCTTGTGGCGCCACCGGACCACAGCATGCGGTAGTATGACGTGGGTGAGGAAGTTTTCCAGTATAAAGCCAAGCATTATCGTACTCTCCAGACTTAGATGTGGCAGTATCAAGTCTCACGGCCTCACCAGAGAGAATATCGGTCTATCAGTACCGCCGTGTAACCACTGGGCTATACTTTACTATACTCTTCCCCCAGCTCTGATTTTGGGGGTGGGGGTTGAGAGTGAAGGGACGGGCAAGCACTTAAACACATTTCAGATCGATTAGAGCTGTTCGTATTTTTTAAAATTCGTTTTTTTTAATACTAGCTACTTCATTGATTTCGCAGGATAATAACATGTTGACAGATAATGTAATGTAACTGTACTTCACTTAACTATACTTCAAATAGCTATAGGCCTACTTCATATAGATATGCTTCACATAGATATGCTTCACAAACCATTGAATTGAATTATTGAATGTAGAAAACGATCCGAAATCTTGTTCAATACTTTATTAGTTCTCATCTTTACACATCACACAACAAGCCCACGTTCCTAGCCGCTACTAACCAAATGGCCCTTCACAATCGTTCACTCCAGCTTTTATACCCGTAAAGGACCTTGGGATAAAAATACCTAAACACCCCGGGGTTAACTCAACTAAAACACGCCTCTGCTCTACGTTCTAAACTATTTTAGCCTATTCTAACCTAAGCTACAACTGACCTTTAGCACCATTTAATGGCTATACATCACATATCTACACTTCATAAAACTATACTTGCTATACTTCACATAGCTATACTTCACATAGACAACCTTCACACAACTGTACTTAACAATAGTGAAATGTAAACTGAAAATGTTGTTATTGTTATAATATGATTGATTTGCATACTGTTGTACTTGTACTTTTTTTTTTTTTTTTTTTTTTTTTTTTAAAGAATTTGATACATCAAATCTACGAACGTTTTCCGAAAGCAATTGTTAAAATACATTCTGAAATTTAACATAGTCTTAAATCCTACTAATTAAAGTGTCAGATGCCTCTCATTGGGCATATGAAATATATACTAATTACTCCATCTTTTATATACTTGAAAAACATAACAAATTAATTGAGTAGAAAAATAGTTCTAAATTAAAAAAAAGCAATTTGTACTTTCTTTTTTTTTTGTGTTAATTTTTTTTAAAGAAAGAGAACTGAAGTGAGTTTTCTCCCATTACTCATTAAAAAAGTTTATAATACAGACAAAAACTATGCGTTGTATAGCCAGGACAAAAAACAACAGCCTCCGTAAAATTGGATTTCAATTTGCCAGCTAATCACGCAAGCCCTGCCGGCTTAAAACAACACAAAAAATATATAATTGATTAATAGCTAATTAGTTCCTAATGAGGTTATGAGATATTTTTTGCATTGATTATGGATTTTTTTTCTACCGCGAAAAGAACAAAAGAAAAATGCTATCAAAGGTAATAGAATTGGGGATGTTTAGTCTTTGATGAGCTACACTAACGCTATTATAGGATGTTTTTTTTTTTTTCTGAACTAACGTGTAGAGACTGATATGTTTGTATATGTGGCTGAAAAAAAGAGGATTATTTAAATCATTTATTATTTAAAAATTAACAAATAACTTTTCGTCACTTTTGTTTGGTCTAAAGAATAGAGAATTTAAAAAAAAAACTACATGGATTTATTTCAATTTAGAATTTTGTGACTGTCAGTTATAAAGCTGTACTGCTTTTGCTTACAACAACAATCACACGACTTATTTGAAGGAACGGTGTGACACTAAGCGGTAGAACGCTAGGCTACTAAACCGAAGTCACGAGTGCGAATCCGGGTTCTAGCCAGTAGACCGTCCCTGAGTCCACTCAGTTCTGATGGGTACCTAACTCATGTTGGGGAAAGTAAAGGCGGCTGGGCAAAGTCCTTACCGCTCCTTCCCTTCATATGACTAGATCAAAAACCATAAGAACTCTTACTTCAATTGTGTTATGGATCCTTAGGCCTAAATATGATTCTTTGTGCTACTTATTTAAGGGGTTAAACGATTTGATAAATTTATATTTTAAAAAAAAATTGCGTTAAAATGTACAACTCGTCAAAATAATTGCTTTGTTTTTTAAAATACAAGGATGCTTTTTACTATTTACAAATTTTAAAAACACTTTTTAAACACATACAATGAAGGCTTTTACTCTCTCTGTTTGGTAGTAATAAATCTTTATCTTTCTAACTCTGTAGAAAGCTTTTATATCGCTGCAAACATTTCCCGCTGTTGTGAACGACGGGGCGATGAACGTAACTACAAAGTGAAAACAACAAACACAGGCGGAACCCCCTTTTGATGCATATTACACCAGCCCACCCCCTCCTTAGGGGTCTACGGGGTATCCCCACGGGTGTGACATAATTATTTAATGATAATTACTGGGTAATTGGAACAGAAAAAGGGGCCAGTCGCTTTGGCGCCTAGCCCGTGGGTGGTCGGGAAAACTGTGAGGTCATACAATATGGATGTCTGGTGGGTCGGTCCATTTAGTTTGTGGTGAGTGGGTTTAGGGGCTGTGGCGGTTGGGGCGTTGTAAAGGCTTCGGTGGGTATAGTGGTTGGTTTAGGGTTATGTTCAGTGGCTAAGGTGGTTTACTGGTAGGTTTACTGTAATGCTTATGGTTAAGGTTGTTTACTGGTAGGCTTATGGTTAAGGTAGGTTTATTGTAAGGCTTTTTTTTTAAAGTCAAAGAGTGTAAATTCAAGATCAAATTTCAAAAGCCCGCATGGAATGTACCCTTTCAATAACTTTCGCCTCTTCAAACTCTTAATTTAGGTTCACACTTTCACATACATTAGCTTTTTCTTATCTGAACTCGCGTCTTGAGGTGGTGGGGTAGAAACACATTCTACTTAGTACCTTCTCTGTCTAAGAGGGGTTCGAAACTTTTTTTTTTAAATAACAGAAGTAATTCCTGGGATAAAAAGTCCTAGCCAGCGAAAAAAGAGCGAAAAGGGAAGTAACTACAATTATTAGCCCATGATAGACACAATAGATCTGTCCATAGACTAGGAATACCCGTTTAATAAGTTAAAGTGTAAAGGAGTAGGCCCTATACTATTCGTAAACGCTTGACTCAGTTCTAATATATGACTAGGAATCCCAATATTTATATGTAAATTTTGTAATAACGTATATTATTATAATAGCCTAGCTCAGTCATAATAAATATAAAGTAAAAAAAAAATCTGATCTAATAAATATTTAAAATAAAAAGTTAGAAGTTAAAGTTAATGTTGGTTTATAAAAGCAACGAAGCACAGCAAGCTATTATGATAGTTAAGGTTGATAGTTAATAACTCCTGGATTATAAAAGTAGCGTAGTGGTTTAAATAAAATAGTTATATTTTTATATATATGTTTTCAAGCGGGGGGTAAGAAAAAATGACCTACCACATTTGCCGTAGTACTTGACCCGAATGTCCTCCATCCTCAGACATGCCGTCTTCCTCAGCTCACACATGTTGGCGTAGTCGTTGCCGTCGTTGCCGCACACCGGCTTGCTGCCGACGCTGTCGCCGTAGGACGGGCACTCTGCCGGGCACTGGCACCGTGCCATCTGCCCGTCCATCGAAGACATGCACTCGGCACCGAACTTGCAGATCCAGCCCTCGCACGGGTCTCGGACACCTGGTGGGAATTTATAACAGGCGGTGACGTCATGGACGCCGTACAGGTAGGAGAAGAGGATGACGTAGACACACACAGAGGACAAAGTGCGCGCGCAGCCGGAAACACGTTTTACCCCCGCGAGCAAGAGTTTTGACGGAAGCGATGAAAGCGTGGATAAGATCGACAATGACGTGAACGAACCGGGTGTTGAGGTTTGCGTAGATGATGTCTGAAGATTCCGGGGCTCCGTGGAGCAATAATATTCGGAGACCGCCGCGGTTCCAGAGTGACAGACTGCCGGACTCCTGAAAATGGATTCCGGCCAGATGTCCCGATTCCCAGTCTCTCCGCTATCGTGGAAATTGAATTTCTGACGTTTTCGTTCTTTCCAATAATTACACCGATCTGCTTTATGGCGACACCATGGACGGGGAGAGCGGGGGTGGGGCGGACAACCCCCTCGGTGGCTCGCTGAAAAACAACGAGACTCAAGACACAATGGTCCTTCCAGACTGAAGTGTCTTTGGTTCTCGGCGATTTCTTGCTCGAAAGGAATACTCATATCCATTTCCGGTGCTGGAAACAGCGCCATCTTGTTTCTGTCTATCTCGGCGTCTGCGCCGGGACCTTTCCGGTAATGTTTAAACTGGCACCGTTTCCGGTTCCGGTGATAAAATCCATCACTTATTGTCAAACTCATCTTCGTTCACTTCATTTCATAAACTAAATTTAAAAACGAACGAGAGAATAAAAAGAATAATTCTTTTCTAAAAACAACACATCTCATTGAAAAAAATAAAATATGTTCCTTTATAATACGATCCTCTCAAAGATAATACAATAATACTTCAATCCGTAGAATAGAAGAAAAAAAACTTGCTAAACCCGATATCTTTTAAGACAACATTTTTTTTCCGGGGCGTCTAGATTAAATATTTGTTATTTGTTTTAGAATTTAATATGTGATTGAAACCCAACACAGCCAAGCCAAAAAAAAAAAAAAATTAGAAAAAAAATGATTTGGAATATAATCCTTGGATTGAAATGATCATCGGATATTCGATACCTTCTGTGAAAAATGAATTTGAAGAGATAACTTAATATTTTAAAATACAACAATAAAAACGTATTGCGAGCTGATTCGAATATTCAAAGGTAGAGAAACAAACAAAATTTAAAACAATTGTAAATCCTGAGTTTTCCTTTTGTGATACTATACTGTACGAAATCACACAAAAAAAGAACTTTAAAATTTAAGTGTAGATTATGGTTTTGAAATTGAACAACTTTTTAAAACAAAACAAAAAAAAGAAACACCAACAAAAAAACTATGATAGATTAAACGGAAAAAAAACAAGAGCATATAAACCAGTGGAACGTTTCAATCCTTTGCCAAAAATAGAAACCCAGAAGCAAGTTGGGTTCGAGATTACTGGGTGTTTCGTCCCAATGATTGACACAGCGGAGCAACAGCACGCGCCGAACACAATATTTGGCGTCTAGACTTGACTGGTGGGAAAACTCGTCAAGGGAGATTAGCATTACAAACTTTAGGTTGTCTATCAGAATTGTCTTTTACACCATAAAGTAAAAATGGATCGGAGTTTCAAGGAAAATAATTTTATATTTAAATTGTATTTTTTATAGAAAAACATTTGTTCAGCTAAGAATGTTAAAGAAATTTAAAATAAATATTCTTTTTACAGTAAAAATTTAACTAGAACCTATCAGCACTATATAATTAAAATTTTATTATCAACAACCAGATCATTAATGTCTTAATAAAATTTAATTGCAAATGTTTAATACAATTTATTGATAAAAACTTAAGTAAAAAAAAAAAAAAAAAAATTAAGCTTCTGAACATTAACTTGATGAATAATACGATATAATGAAAGACAGCTAAAGAGAAACGGCAAAACTACTAATGTCCAAAGTGGTATGAGAATCCTAGTCAATAAACGTACTTCAAAAAGCTGAGTGCTAAGCGATTTTCTTCGTGTCTCCATATTATCCGCCATATATGCATTGAATCCGATTTCAGTCTGCTTTTCTTTTTGTATTTGCTTTTATAGCCTTTGTCCAACCAAGACGAAGCTACAAGGCAGCAGTTGTTTGATTTTATATATATATATATATATATATATATATATATATATATATATATATATATATATATATATATATATATATATATATATATTGCCATTCCAACTGCATTACTCCCAAATTGAAGTTCACGTAATTTTCGGCTGAAAAGTTTAGAAAAGATTTTTTTTTTAAACCCAAGCTTTCAACTGAAATAGAATATTTAATAGAGGAACAAGGCGAGGGGAATGAAGGAATGCGAGTTGAGGGAATTGGAAGTGTATTGGAGTGTCACGGCATGAAAAGGGTTAATGTGCGCATGTGGAGGGACGTAATGAAAACATAAATAATACAAGCACGGGAGTGACGTCACGGGACGTGGCGTTGTTTGGGCAACTGTTGGCACGCATCACGTGATGGGAGATTGTGTTAGGGTGGGGGGGGGGTGAGGTGCGTAAAGGAGGCATTGATTTTATGATGTAGTTGAGCTGGGAGAAGGGGGAGAAACTGGGGGAGGTACAGATGAATGAAATATTTAAAACTGGTTTTAAAACACAGGGGAAGTGAGGAAGAAAGCAGATGAAGAGTTAGATAGGGGGAGAGAAGAAGAGACAAAATAACAGCAAGAATTTGGGAGAGTTCCCAGAAATGCCGCAATTACTGCCCCTTGTTAAAAAGTTAATTTTGTTTTTGAATAAAATTTGCCTTATTTGCAGCAACTTGGGGGCTGTTCGATAAAGGGAGAAGGGGTGATTGTGTAGATTTGGAAGATATTTGTGTGACAATTTTTATGTTTGATGCTGGCCCGAAGGGAGTGTATCTTTGTATTTATGCATGTATATATATATATATATATATATATATATATATATATATATATATATATATATATATATATATATATATGTGTACACATTTATACATAAATACATACGTATATATATATATATATATATATATATATATATATATATATATATATATATATACACGAGTATGAATATATATATATATATATATATATATACGAGTATGAATATATATATATATATATATATATATATATATATATATATATACGAGTATGAATATATATATATATATATATATATATATATATATATATATATATATATATATATATATATATATATACAGTGACGTAGCGAGGTCGGGTGTCACCCGGTGCGGCACTTAATGGTGTCACCCCCCAGAGGCGTAGCGACCCTTCCCGGGGACAAAGTTTTCGATTTGCACCCCCCTCAAGTTTTCGATTTGCACCCCCCCCCCCTCAAGTTTTTCCCTAAATGGTGTCACCCGGTGCGGTCCGCACCCCCCGCCCCCCCCCCCCCCCCTCGCTACGCCCCTGTATATATATATATATATATATATATATATATATATATATATATATATATATATATATATATATATATATACACACACTTATACTTATAACCATAAAACTCAGTAGGCGATGTGTGTGTGGCCTGATGAACAAGATGAAACAACATTAGAAGGTAATAAAATTCAGCGACACTGAAGGGATTTTTTTAAACAGTCAATCAATAACAATTTGCTGTTGAAAGCGTTTTAGTGTGGGTGGAGACGGACGGCAGGGAGATGAGTGAGTCAGCGTCACAGTGAGAATTTGTTTTAAACTGGTTGGAGTCACTAGCTTGGCGTCACTGGTACGGTAACTGATGGCGTCACCCCTCCACCACCCCACCCCCCCATATCTAAACCCATAGTGCTTGTATAAATCTTCCAACCCAGATCTCTTTGATGCCTCTAATGGTATTCACGCTACATTTCCTACAGTAATACTGTGCAGTCGCCCATGTTAAACTATGTTGACCAATGCGAATTTAACAAACCGACCCCATTAAACATTTGTCAAATCTGGCATTTCCCCCTGATCGAACATTTTAAAGTGGTTTACTCTAGCAAGTACTTGATAAAGAAATGGTATACTGTAGCAAGTACTTGATAAAGAAATGGTAAACTGTATTAAGTATTTGATATAGAAATGGTATACTGTAGCAAATACTTGATATAGAAAAGGTATACCTTAGCAAGTATTTGATAAAGAAATAGTATACTGTAGCAAGTACTCAATAAAGAAGTGGTATACTGTAGCAAGTACTTGATATATAGAAAAATAAAAGTGATCAGTAGTGTTTCTTTTAGAAGTTTTTTTTCTATATTTTTCTATAAGGGGAGGGTGGAACCTGAAACTTTCGCGGGGGGTGGGGGGGGGGCGGACTAAATTTACACTTTAACTTTATTAATTATTAATACTCGACAACGCATTTTGATATCAGTAAATTTTGCCACTTTTCGACATGATGTCACCCCCACACCCTAAATGGTTTGACCATCACGCAAATTATGCCCCCAGCCCCTAATTCTCCCCATACATACAGAGACCCCCCCCCCCCCGCCCAGTACTGTAAGCTCACCCCACCCGCTCCGTCTTGTGACAATACTGCAATCATTTGTTAAATAACCGTACTTAATTATTAGGTTGTTGTAAATTTGATTTAACTAAACAAATAAAAAATAGATGAATTTGATGGGTTACATAATAAAAATACTAAAAATGAGTAAAGCAATCAATAGACAACGACGCCCATTCCCCCCCCCCCCCCACCCCCACCCCCCATAGAAAAATAAAAACTAGTAATAAAAACTATTATGGGTAATCATTTACATTGTCGATTTATAATCGGCTCGCAGCGCGTTCTATTAAGAGAGAGTATTGATTCTGATTACAGGCAGATTTTTTTTTTGTAATTGTATGACTCCATTTAACATGGCGTCATTGACGCCAGATCAAATAGTTAACTCACTCTGAGTCAACACTCAGGCTGTTTGTTTTTTATTTTATCACGTGCAGTTGTGTGTGTTTTAGAGAGAGATAGATAGAG